CCCACCGGAACGGTTCCGGATCGGCCCATACGTCACGGGATCACTCTCGAGGCAAGCGCCGTCCCTCCGCGTGGATGTATCTACCGCATGAGCGAAGAGGAACTCGAAGTGCTTCGCGCACAACTCGATGACCTTCTCGACAAGGGCTGGATTCGCCCTAGTTGCTCGCCATACGGTGCACCTGTTCTCTTCGTCCGSAAGAAGAACAAAGATCTACGGTTATGCATCGACTATCGAAAACTTAGCGCACAAACCGTAAAGAACGCCGGCCCTCTCCCTCGGATTGATGATCTCCTTGAGCGGTTAGGCGGCGCGACGTACTTCTCGAAGTTGGATCTGAAAGCAGGTTACCACCAGATTGAAATCCAGCCTCAAGACCGGTACAAGACCGCGTTCAAGACGCGGTATGGGCATTTTGAGTGGGTTGTCATGCCATTTGGCCTCACCAATGCCCCCGCAACGTTTCAAGCAGCGATGACGACTGAGTTTCGCGACTTGCTCGATCGCAGCGTCCTCATCTACCTTGATGATATCTTGGTTTATAGTAGGACGTTGGACGAGCACATCGTACACCTTCGCGTTGTTTTGAATCGTTTGCGACTAGCCAAGTACAAAGCGAATCTCGACAAGTGAGAATTCGCCAGGCAAGAGCTTGAGTACTTGGGCCATTTTGTCACGCCGAAAGGCATTCGTCCCTTAGCGGACAARATCCAAGCCATCGTGGATTGGCCGGAACCCCGTTGCACGACGGATATACGCTCTTTCATGGGTTTGGCTGGATATTATCAGCGATTCGTCGAGTCATACTCGAAAGTGGCCGCTCCTTTGTCGAGACTTCAGTCCCCGAAGGTGCCTTTCGAGTTCGACGACGCAGCCCGTGGCGCGTTCACTGCGTTGAAGGCAGCGATGCAAGCCGCACCTGCCCTCCGTATATATGACCCCACCCTACCCACCCAAGTGATTACGGACGCTTCGGGATACGGTATTGGTGCGGTGTTGGAACAGTGTCACGAGGACGGTTGGCAGGTGCCTCTCGTCAACACTCTTGATGACGCTAGGAAGAAAGAGCTACTCGCGTTCGTCACCGTCCTCAAACGGTGGCGCCACTTTCTTCTCGGCCGTCAGCGTTTTAAATGGAATACGGATAACAATTTGTTGACATTTTACAAAACGCAGGACACGGTCACTAGTACGATCAGTCGATGGATGTATTACATCSACCAGTTCGATTTTGACCCGTGTCACATTCCCGGTCCCGCCAATCGAGCTGCGGACGCCCTCTCACGACGGCCCGACTTTTGTGCCATTGTGACCACGGCATTCGACCTCGATGACGATCTGCAGCAGCATTTCGTCAACGGCTACAAGTCCGATCCGACTTACTCTACGCTTTAYGCAGAGCTTTCATCGGATCATCCGCCGGCTAGCCATTATCGGATCTCCGACGGGTTCCTTCTCCTTCACACGAGAGGAAAGGACTTGTTAGTTGTGCCCCAAGATCGTATCTTACGGACTCGTCTTCTCGGCGAATTCCA